CACACCTTTCTTAATTTTAAACCATTCAGTGTTCCTATGTTCTGTTCGAACAATTGCCTCTTGATCCATGTACATTTGTAGGTTCAGTGTGAGGATTTTTATTTTCTTTACATTGAGGTGCAATCCATATTGAAGGCTGTGGTCTTGGATCTTCATCATTAAGTATTTTAAATCCTCTTTGCTTTCAGCAAGCAAGGCTGTATCATCTGCATATCACAGGTTTTTAATGAGTCTTCCTCTAATCCTGATGCCATATTTTTCTTCAAATAATCCAACTTCTCAGATTATTTACGCAGCATACAGGTTGAATAAGTATGGTGAAAGAATACAACCCTGGTACACACCTTTGCTAATATTAAACCATTCAATGTTCCTTGTTCTGTTCAAGTAACTGCCTCTTGGTCTATGTATAGGTTCCTCGTGATAACAATTAAGTGTTTTAGAATACTCATTCTCCACAATGTTGTCCATAGTTTGTCATGATCCACACAATCCAAAGTCAATGCATAGCTAATAAGAGTACAGGCTAAAATCTTTCTGGTATTCTCTGCTTTCAGCCAAGAACCATCTGACATCAACAATGATATCCCTCGTTCCATGTCCTTGTCTGAATCTGGCTTGAACCTCTGGCAGTTCTCTGCCAATGTATGTTTGCAGCCACTTTTGGATTATCTTTAGCAAAATTTTACTAGTCTGAGATATTAATGATATTGTCCAATGATTTCTGCATTCTTTTAGGTCACCTCTCTTTGGAACAGGTAAAAATATGGATCTCTTCTAGTCAGTTGGCCAGGAAGCTGCCTTCCAAATTTCTGGGCATAGATGAATGAGTGCCTCCAGTGCTGCATCAGTTTGTTGAAAGATTTCAAATTGTATTCCATCATTCACACTGCCCTGTTCTTTGCCAATGCCTTCAATGCACCCTGGACTTCTTCCTTCAGGATTACTGGCTCTTGATCATATGCTACCTCTTGAAATGGTCGAACATCTATCATTTCTTTTTGGTACAGTGACCTCTGTATATTCCTTCCATCTTCTCTTGATGCTTTCTGCATCATGCAGTATTTTGGAAGTCAAGGCTCGAATTTTTTCTTCAGTTCCCTCAGTTAGAGAATGCTGAGCATGTTCTTCCCTTTTGGTTTTCTAACTCCAGGTCTTTCCACATTTCATCATAATACTTGACTTTGTTTTCTTGAGCTGCTCTTTGAAATTTGCTCTTCAACTCTTTTCCATCCACATTTCTTCCATTTGTTTTCATCTCTATGCTGGAGAGAAAGTTTCAGAGTCTCTTCTGACATCCATTTTGGTCTTTTCCTTCTTTCTCGTCTTCTTAATGACCTTCTGCTTTCTTCCTATATGATGTTTTTGATGCCATACCACAACTCTTCTGGTCTTTGGTCACTAGTCTGTAATGAAGCAAATCTTCAGATGATCTCCAAATTCAGGTGGGATATGTTCAAGGCTATATTTTGGCTCTCGTAGACTTGTTTTCATTTTCTTCATCTTCAGCCTTAACTAGCATAGGAGCAACTAATGGTTTGTTCCAGTCTACCCGGGCCTGGTTTTCTGACTGATGATATGGGGTTTTTCCATTGTCTTATTTCCCAGATGTAGTCAATTTGATTCCTGTGCATTCCTTCTGGTAAGGTCCATGTGTAAAGTTGCCTTTTCTGTTGTTTAAAAAAGGCATTTGCAATGAATAAGTCATTGATCTTATAAAATTCTATCCTATGATCGCCAGGATCATTTCTATCACCAATGCCATATTTTCCTACCTCCTTGATGCCAACCTTCACATTCTAATCACCAGTAAATATCAATGCATCTTGATTATATGCTTGATTAGTTTCAGACTGAAGAAATTGTAGAAATCTTTGATTTCATCATCACAGGCTTTAGAGGTCGGTACAGACATTTGAATAATAGCGGTATTAACTGGTCATCCTTATGTTGTTGTTGTTAAATGCTGTCAAGTTGGTTCCAACCCACAGCGAACCTGCAGAGGGTTTCCGAGGAGCAGTTAGTGAGCTTGAACTGCTGACCTTGTGGTTCAAACTGACTTTGCAGTCCAGCGCATTAACCCACAGTGCCACACCAGGCCTCCGTACGTCTTCCTTATCAGCAAATGGATATATCCTACTGCAGACAACATTGTATTTCAAGATAGAGCCTGACATTTTTTTTTTCCCCATGATAAATGCAACATCATTCTTCTTGAATGTGTTGTTCCTGGCATAGTAAACCATGTAGTTGTTAGATTCAAAATGGCCAATACCATTTTGAATCCTAGTCCATTTCAGCTCACTAATGCCTAGGATATTGATCTTTATATGTTCCATTTTATATTTGACAACTTCCAATTTTCCTAGGATTATACTTGGTACATACATACACGTCATGTTCTGATTATTAATGGATGCTTGCAGCAGTTTCTCCTCATATTGACTGTGCCCCATCCACAAATGAAGATCCCCAAAGCTTTACTCTAGTCATCATGGCCAACTGTATTTTGAGGAGGCAGTTCATCTTCAATTGCATTTTGAGTGACTTCCATGCTAAGGGGTTCATCTTCCAGTACTGTATCTGACAAGTTCTACTGCTCATCCAGCTGACAGGTACAGCTTGTCCTCAATTGGACGGCTGTGTCTGGATATTCCCAGTGTAAGCTGGGCCTCCATGCACCTCTATTCCCTTCACTGTGCTTGCTGAGCCTGGGATATGTGTCCTGGCTGACTCAGAACCTGAGATCACTCCCCACACATACACACACCTGCTCCCCACAGCCCCCTGGTGAAACTCACTGGCTCAGGAGGAAATCAGCCCAACCAGCACTGCCCAATAGAACATTCCATGATGATGCAATGTGCAGTATGTCCTGCTGCCAAATAAGGTAGCCACTAGTGGCACCAAGCTACTAAGCCCTTGAAATGACATTGAAATTTATTAAATGAATTTAATTTAAAATAAGCACTGGTCTAGTGGGCAGTGACTCTGGTTGGTACAAAGGTTGGAGGTTTTAGTCCAACCAGAGGCACCACGGAAGAAAGTCCTGGTGACTGCATCCACAGAATCAGCCCTGAAAACACTGCGGCGCACAGTTCTACTCTTACGACACACAGGGGGTCACCATGAGTTGGAGCCGATTCGATGGCAACTGAACTCTTTTAGAATATGTGACAATCGCCCTGCACTTGGTACAGCTCAGTCCACACGCCTTTCCCGCCCCTCTCTGATCTCCATTCTTCAAGAAGGGCCTGACCCCATCATGGCTCAGTGTACACCCAAGCCTTTCCCTAGTCCCTGCCCTCCAAGCCTGTATCCCCCGCATCTCTGCATCATGGAAGGTACCTGGCAGGGTAAAGTTCTTCTGCTGTCTTGTGCACTGCGGCGAGGGGTGCAGGGGAGAAGACGGCGTGGCGCTTGGTGGGAGTGGGGGCGCTGGTGAAGAGGGAGTAGATGATGTCGTGGATGAAGGGTTGCTGCTGGAATCTGGCTGGTAAGGGACAGGGATGTGGTCCTGCAGAAAGAAAATAGGGCAGGGTCAGGGGAACCACAGGAAGGCAGTGAGAATGCACCCCCATCCCAGCATCCTCAGTAACTCTTGCCCTTTTCTTCAGCATCCCCATGGGGTTGCATCCAGCTATGGGAGGAAGAGCTTCTAAAGTCAAATTCCTGTCCACTCTCTGCACCCCGAAGTGGAAGGTCGCCATGTAATGAGAGCCACATAGGTGACAGCCACGCTTCCTGTGCCTCTCTGATTCTTGAAAACCCCACGCCAAGGTGTCCAGAGTGTTCTTTCCACCCTAACACCTCTCCTCTGGAGTGTTTATTAAAGAATCCGCAGCCCAGCAGTACATGAGCGGCATGAGTGTGTGCTGCCAGCGTCATAGATTGAAACAGCACTGTCTCTGCTCACCCTGAGTTAACTCCCAAGTCAGGGTGAAGTCAAAGTCCATGGGCACATCCTCAGAGTTACCGCGGGTCCATGCCAACACAGCACATCCTGGGAGTGCCCGAGGGTCTATGTGTATATCCTCAGGGTGACCGAGGGTCCACATGCACATCCTTAGGGTGACTGAGGGTCCACACATATATCCTCAGGGTGACTGAGGGTCCACACATACATCCTTATGGTGACCAAGGGTCCACACGTACATCCTCAGGGTGACCGAGGGTCCACACGCACATCCTTAGGGTGACTGAGGGTCCACATGCACATCCACCACACGCACATCCTCAGGGTGACCAAGGGTCCACATGCACATCCTCAGAAGGACCGAGGGTCCACACACGCACATCCTCAGAGTGGCTGTGGGTCCAAGTGCACATCCTTGGAGTGGTTGTGGTATGAGGTGAGGCATGAGAGGGCAGTGGGTTGTATTACAGTCCTCAAAAGATGTGTCCACCCAGAACTCAGAATGTGACGCTCTCTGGAATAAGGGTCTTTGTGGGTGAAACGAAAGTAAGGATCTCCAGCTGAGACCATCCTGGATTAGTGTGGGCCCTGCATCCACGACAAGTCTTTATCAGACACAAAAGAAGATGTGCAGAGTCAGAGGGGAAAGTCTGTGAAGACAGGCAGAGACTGAGGGATATGTCCAAGGAGCCAGAGGACAGAGGATTCTCCTCTAGAGCCCCTAGAAGGAACCCACCCTGCCAACACCATGATTTCAGACTTCTGGCCTCCATAACCGGGAGGGACTAAATGTCTATTTGTGGTCATTTCTTCTAGACATGAAGAAGAAGCATTTTAAGTACCAGAAGTGTCTTGGTGTGGGTTTCTTTGGTGTTTACTTAATCATCTCTTCTGCCACTGAGATGTTTTTTTTTTTCGCGGGGGGTGGGTGGGGGGGGGGGGGGAGGTTTTGTACTTGTCACTTCTGAAATTTCCTTTTGGTTCCTCTTTGTATCTTCTAGTTCTTTGCTGATACTTCCTATTTTTTCCATTTGTTTAAAAAATGTTCAGAATTATTCATTGAAGTATTTTTATGATGGCTGCTTTAAAATTACTGTCAAATAATTCTAAAGTCCCTGTCACCAAGGATTAGTGTCTATTGATTGCCAGTTTTTCCTGACTCTCGATGTGACAATTGTCAATGGACACCTGGACATTCAGGCATTATATTACGAGACTCGGAATCTTACTTAAACCTATTTTAGCACATCAGTCTTAGAAGAAATACAACCAGAATGCTCCTTACAAGTCAGACTGACTAGACATGGGGTCACTTGTTTTGAACAAGCCACCAGGAAAGACAATTTGTGAAGGAAACATCATGGTTGGTAAAGTAGACCATCAACAATAAAAAGGTGAACCTCTAGGGAGATGGACGGACACAACAGCTGGAACGACGGACTCAAACATGAATGATTTTGAGGACGAGCAGGACGAGCGAGGTTTCACTGTTATTACACAAGGGCTAACAACTTAATGACTAATGACAATTTGAGCTAGCTGCTAGTGCCACCTTGTCAGTACCAGGTCATGGGAGACTTCCAGGTTCCCTCCTTGGCCTGTGCTGGGTGGAGGTGAGAATTCTAGATCTATCACAGACCCCGAATGGCGGTACTCCCACTGGGACACACGGGTGGTGGTGGTTATGTGCCATGGAGTCGGTTCTGACTCATAGCGACCCTGTACAGGATTTCCGAGGCTCTAAATCTTTACAGGGGCAGAAAGTCTCATCTTTCTCCTGCGAAACAGCTGGTAGTTTCGAACTGCTGACCATGAGATTAGCAGCCCGATTTGTAACCACTACATTACCAGAGCTGGGACAGGTAGGAGTGCCTTATTGCCACTTTCCATGTGTCCTACATTGATAGGAGCTGGCTGACCTCGTTGTTGTTAAGTGCCATCAAGTTGGTTCCGACTCATAGCAACCCTGTACAGCGTTTCCAAGAGTGGCTGGTGGGTTTGAACCACCCACCTTGAGGTTCGTGGTCCAGTGCTAATCCTACAGTGCCACACCAGGAGTCCAGGGTAGCCTCATTAGTGGTGTTGACATTTCGAACTCTGCAAGATTTCCCCTGATTCTATCTCAGAGAAGAGGATCAAGGGCAAGAGTCTGGCTGAATGGGATGGAAGTCCAGAAGCCCCAGTGATCCTGGGATGTGGGGGGAATTGGAAGTCCTACCTTCCTACTCAGTCTTTTCTTCAAGCACTCGAGCAGAGGGCTGGGGGACCCCCCTGACAGCCTGGTGAGGGTGGGAGTCGAGGCAGCCTGGTATGGGTGTAGGTGGGGCCCCAGTTTGTTCTGTAGCCCTTGGCTAGAACAGACGAGTTGTTTTCTAAGAGATTTTTTTCTGTTTTGCAAGGTTGGCCCATCCTGATTCTGTGACACAGGGGGCCAAGCTTTCGTTGGGGCTCATTTTGCCCTTGTCTATTGGCATTTCAGGGTTTCTGAACTCTTCAACTCTGATTTTGGGATAAATGAGGCAAAAAGAAATGGATACATCAATGATGTGTAGTTCCTTATGTCCCAACGTCCTATTCAGTCTTCCATGGGCCTCCTCACACCTTTCTTGGTTCATTTTCATTTCTTTCCCTTGTACTTGTTTTCCATATAAAGTCCAGGGATTTTAGTTGCACTTAGAGGAAGAGAGAATTGTGTGTCCACTCCATCTCCCTGGCAGCACACATCCTGATGACACATTTTTGTTAATTAATGAAATTCTGGCAGTAAATCTCCAAAAGGGGTGTTACCTCTGGAGGAAACTGGGGCTCCAAGAAATGGTGAAACTTGACTGTAACCATATATAGAGAGAAATACTTGTAGTATAGTCATTCCTTGGATGGACTCATGTCTCTAATGTTGTTGTTAAGTGCTGTTGAGTTGGTTCTGACTCAGAGTGACCCTGCATAGGGTTTCCAAGGAGCGGCTGATGGCATTGAACCATGGATGTTGCAGATTAGCCACCCAGTGCTAATCCTACAGAGCCACAGAAGAACTCCTTCCTGTCTCTAGGCTACAGAATTCTTCCTGAAATAATGGATCCTTCCAATATGATTCAGGACCCACTGGGGGGAAAATAAAGGTGAGATCACTTGGAAATAGACCCACCATTCCAGGCAAGTGCATGCCAGCCGCTTGTCAAGCAAGTGGCTGATGCGATTTTAGGAGCAGGGCATTACTGAAGCAGCCTTCTGACTGTCTCCTTATTGATCAAATGGTAATTACATTCCCATGGCAACGGACATGCCAATCTAGGGAATGACATGTCATAGCATGTGGAGCTAAGATTCAGGTGGCTGGGTTGTGACACAGAGCTGTTCTCACTCAGCCTAATGGGGCACACAAGGTTTCTAAAGGAAGATATTGTGGTTGTTGTGTGTTGTCAAGTCGATTCCAACTTACAGTGACTCTGTATTGGGTTTCTGAGAGTGGCTGCTGGGTTTGATCTGCTAGCCATGTAGTTACCAATTCAGGGCTTATCCAACAGAACCACATCAGGCAGAATGCCTATGCCATTTCCGGATACAGGAACATGTAAATCATCTACCTAGCCATCTTCCAAAGATCCCTGGTGGCACAGTAGTGAAGTGCTTGCTGCTAACCTAAAGGTTGGTTGTTCAAATCCACCAGATGCTCTGTGGGAGAAAGATCTGCCAGCCTCCTTCCATAAAGATGATACTGCTGCTGTCGGTTCTGACTCTCAGCCACCTGGGATGGGGTTCTTGACACTGGAAATCTTTACCGGAGCAGAAAGCCTCATCTTTCTTCCACATAAAGATTGTAGCCTTGGAAACCCATGGGCAGTTCAAGGCTGTCCTGTAGAATCACTGTAAGCCAGAATCTACTCGATGGCAACAGTTATACCGTCCTTGGAAGCATCTCCTCTTTGAACATCTACTCATGAAGTTTCTATATTCATCCTACAAAAAGGGAGTCATTTTCTCAGCTTAGAAATCAGTAAGATTTATGCTAAAAGTTGGTGTTCCACGAGAAGGAACTGGCATAAAAACCATGCTCAAGTGATGGAACATGCTACAAGAACTTTGGTCCATGATGTGCACCATCTAGACTGCACTGGGGCATACACCACCTTCTGCTGCCAAAACCATCACTGTATCCATGTATTGTCAACCTTGGTCATGTTAAGTGGCCCAGGGTTCCCAACACAATCCAGGCCATTTCACATCTTCAAGGCTTGGGACAGCTATTAAGTCTGTCCATGTCTACCTGCAGGAATCCTCCTAATCATTCTTGAAAATGCAGCTCAGATCTGCCCTCCTGTGGGCAGCTCCCATATGTTCCCGCCCCACCAGGTACGTTGTCTTCACTCCTCTGCTAGTCCAGCAACCCGGGCCTTCTCAACCTACTTGTCTGTCTCACCTTCTAGGCTAGAGATACAATACATTCATCTCTCTGTCCTCAACACTTAGCAATGGACCAGATTCAGTGCGTTCCCTCACTAGATGTGTGCTGGATGAAGGAAAAGGGGGCAATGAAGGGAGAGAGGGAGGGATGAAGGAAGGGTGGGAGAGGTGGAAATGGGGGAGGGCTGGAGGGATGGAGAGAAGAGGACAGAAGGTCTTTTCTCACTAGACTGTGTCTTCCTTGCCTTCCTCTCACCTCCTCTTTCTTCCTCTTATACTTCAGTCAAGGAGCCCTACTGATCGAATGATTAAGCACTCAGTTGCTAATGCCAAGGTCTGTGGTTTGAATCCACCAGCTGTTTCTCAGTCTCCTCCCATAAAGACTGACAGCCATGGGAACCCATGGGGCAGTTCTACTCTGCCCTATGGGGTTGCTGAGAGTTACAATGAAGTCCATGGTTCTGGGTTTATAGGTCATTCTCTTCCTCTTCCTCTACACCTCCCTTATCTTTCCTCTCCCTCGTTCTCTCCCTCCGTCTTCACCACCAAGCTCCTGCTATGTTCTGAGTAGCCAGTGTTGGTTGGACTCAAGCCTTTCCACAAATCACTGCATCAGATCCTCTTCATTACTCCATGAAATAGGTACTACCAGGCTGCCCATTCTGCAGAGGGATAAACTAAGGCAGAGAGATATTAAAATGTCTGGTCCACAGTCACACAGCAAGTGAAGGAGCTGCATTCAAGCCCAGGCATCCTACCTCCAGAATCCAAAGTCTAGCCATACTGCTTGGGGAAAAGGCAGAGTTTTGTGAACCTGGACTGACTGAGCTTGGCAGCAGTGAAGGAGCCAAAAAGCAATAAAAAAAGGACATCTTCAGACCAAAGTGCCTCTGAAATCTATTACACTAACCACATCATTGTCTGACAAAAAGAATCTGCATGAAGCCAGTGAGAAGAGAAAGCGGGGGAAAAACAACCCAGCCCTCTGGTAGACCTTGTCCACCTTCGTGTCAAAGCCGCTTTCTAAATGGAGGTTAATTTCTTTCCCTTATCAGATTCTCTGGCTGGCAGACAGGCAGAACAATGTCACCCTGGCTGGTCCATGTGGCCTGCGTCACTGCCTCATCTCACACTCAGAGGCTGCCTGTGTCTGTGATGGGAGAGGGAAGGGTCTCCACAGGGCTCTGACTCCCTCATGCCTCCAGACCTGACAAAGGTGAGAGTGGGCTACAGGCCCCCCACTCCTTCCCAGTTCTCAGTCTCCCAGCATGGGGGGCCCCTCGCCTAGACTCTGTATCTTCTGCAGATAGATAAGGATAAGTGGACCCCACCTGATACCTGATTAATGCAGTTGTCGTTGGGACAATTCTCACTCATGGCAACCTCACATGTGTCATAGCAGAACTGGGCTCTATGGGGGTTTTCAGTGGCTGACTTTTCAGAAGTAGATCACCAGAAGTTTCTTCCACAGTACCCCCGAGTTAGCAGCCTGTTGTTGGAATTAGAGGTGGCGCCTGCGTATTGAATCTGAGCAGGCTTATAGCTGCTTCGATCAGTGGAGCTCGGAAGAAGGGGCATCACCGTCACTGGATTATAAGAGGCCGAGCAGCTTCCATGATGTTTGCTGAAACAGTCGTTCTTTGAGCTCTGGGATGCCGAGGAAGAAGTAGTTATACTGGAAGGGAGCCCAGACCAAAGGAAAATTCCCTGATAGGCACTGCAAGTGTGGACACTGAGTCCAGCCCAGGACCATGCTCACCCAGCCACCAGGCATGTGAGTGAAGGAGCTTCTAGATCAGGGGCCTTTTTTGTTAAGGGCCAGACAGTAAATATTGTAAGTTTCGTAGGTGAGTTAGGTTTTAGGTGACAGCCTGTCATCAATGGTCAACTCTCGCATTGTACCACAAATGCAATCGTAAATAATATGCACGCAAATGGGTGTGGGCTGGTCTTTGAGTGGGTCATAAAATACCTGTTCTAGAATATTCCAGCCTCTGTTAGAGTTTTCCTGGTTGAGTTCCTAGACATTGGAAATAAACTGGGGGGCAGTGGATTATCTAATACAGTTCTTCTGCCCTAGTATTTGTTGTTGTTGTTAAGTGCCGTGGAGTCAGTTACAACCTATAGAGACCCTGTACAGGGTTTCTGAGGCTGTAAATCTTTACGGGAGCAGAAAGTCTCATCTTTTTCCCACGGAGTGGCTGGTAGTTCCAAACTGCTGACCTTAAGGTTCGCAGCCCAATTTGTAACCACTATGCTGCCAGAGCTCCTTCTAGTATTTGTAACTCCTACCAAATGACTTTTCCTTTTGGGTCTGTGTCAGAGAAGGTGGGGGATTCTGATGGAGTGTATAAATGCCAGTGGACTGTGAGTAATTATTAACAGTGTCTACTGTGATTATAAAAACATGGAACTCAAATGTGGGGATTGGTCAGTGTTGCCATCCTGCTGGGTATAAAATGAGCCATCTCAGAAGCTGGGGGGAAGGTGGTGGTGGTTAAGTTACATCAAAAGATTAAGTTACATTAAGAAAGAAGAGCTGGAGTGGAGTAAGTCCTCTTGAGGGACCTGAAATCCCTGAACATCAAACCTCCTTGATCCAGGAACAGAAAACTCTGATACCAGAGAATCAGCAGCACCAGAGCCAAGGGAACAAGGCAGAGTAGTGGGCTTCCTGGCCCACAGAACAAGTAAAGCTGAGTGCCTTCGGGCGGGAGCTCACAGAGTGGATCCAGGCAGGATCAGAGGGTTAGATTTGCCAATGCATGGAGCTAGAGCTGAGCCCCTTTGGGCGGACGCTTCTGACGGAGTGGTGTGTCCTCTAAACGAGCTTTGTCACGTTGCCTGAGCAGGACAGAAGCTAAAAGACCACGTGACTCAAAGGTCAAGGACCAGAGGTGTACCTGCAGGCACAGCTGAGAAGAGGCTGTCCTGATTGGAAGATGTATTCCAATCCTGAATTGTACCTTGTTTACTTCCCTAATAAACCCATCACTGTGGTTATGGGTTGTGAGCTCTGCAGGGCCACTGCAATCAATTCTTGAACCCAGCAGTGAAGACACTGCTGTATGAGAGCCAGTTGGTGTCAGAATCAGTGAGGGAGAAGAGAGAGTGGAGGCATGTCCGACCTCTGCCTAGTAGGAATTGGCCTTGGATGGAGGAGTTTGATTCTCCTTCCCCCTCGTGAAGTCAGAGGAAGTTAGCTAGCTGCTGTACAGAAGTCATCCCCATGGCATCCTTACTGTTGAAATATTCCTGAATTTTGTGCTATGAGCATGAAAAAAGTGGTTGTTGTACACCACTCACTTTGGGGCGGTTTGTTGTGCCGCGGTTGATAACTGAAACATACCCATTGTACATACAGGAAAACTGAGGCTCGGGAGATTAAGTTATTTACTCAAAGTTTCACAGCTAGTTAGTGGAAGAAGCCAAGACTGGCTGCCAGGTCTACCTGCCTCCAGAGACCAAGTTCCCAGCTTAGGGTGATGTCACAGATGCCAGCTGCTGACTGACTCTGAACCCCAGTAGTGAAAACAGTGGGTGATGCCCAACAGAGAAAAAACACATTGCTTTTTCTGGGGAGGCATGGAAGAAGATGTCTGAGACAGCAGAAATATGAGTTTTCTTTAAAAAAAAAAAAAAAAGCCACTGGATGGTGTTTAAGCCAAGAGTGATGTGGTCCAAACTCATTCATGAAAGACTCGAGCTCTGTGAGCACTGAGACCATGCCTGGCCAATACAAGGCCATGGGTATCACCTGATGACATCTGAGACCTGAACCCAGGCCCATGATGCCCGCCTCCTTAGGAGGACCTGCGCTGTATACACTCTCAACTACACTGGTATGGTACTTCTCTAAGCCCTGGTCACCATGTTGGATGTGAATGTTACCTTCCAGATCAATCCAGAAAGCCCTGCCTAAACCCCTTCTCCCTCCAGCCTCCCTGTCGAGGAGAGGGAAGTATTCCCAGGAAAGCTTTGGTGCAGCCTGCTCTCTAGACCAAACAAAGGGCATGGACACTCTGCTGGAAATTTCCCAACCACCCTGGAAGGAAATGCACAGAGTCCGCTGCTAACCAGGCACCTGGACCCATGCAGCATCTATCCGCTCCATCTCCAACCAGGAGCTCAGAAATAGACCCCACCCCTTGGCTGTCCGATTCAACAGATGTGTTGGAAAAGCCCAGAACCATCTGCAAAGCTGAGGCTGGCAGATGGCAAAATGTCTCAGAGGGCAGAGCGGGCAGGTCTGGGCCACTAAGGAAGCTCTTTCAGTTTCTTCTTTGCTCCCTGGCACACCCCTCCCCTTGGCACAGTTATTCATTCTCATTTCATCTTCCCTGTCTCAAAATTAGACACGTGGCTGGCACATCCATCCCTGCACAAATCACTGGAAGCCCCCCAACTTTATTCAACACCAACAACAGAGCTGGAAAGGCCCAGCTGACCTAAGAGCCCTGCCCAAAGCCAGCCCCCAGAAGCCCAGGCTTACCTTGTTAATTTTGTTGGTTTTAGGGAGCGTCTGGCTGATGTGCAGGTCTGAGTACCGGGGTGGCTTCCGTAGTGGATTGTTGATGTCACACGGGACTGACTCTGTCCGGACTAACCTTGCTGGATCCGTAGGGGCAAAAACAATGATTTGGGAGTTTGAGTATCATTTTAAGGTTACTAGCGATTTGGGAGTTTTAGTATTGTTTTGGCCTATAAAAAATCAGACCTCAGATCCTGAATCAAAGGAAGGAACTCATTAGAAATGACAGTCATTGTGTTGTGGTGGGAGAATCTGTGTGTTTCCTATGCTGTTGTTGTTCAGTGCTGTTAAGTTGGTTCCAACTCATAGCAACCCTGTATAGGGTTTTCCAGGAGCGGTTGGTGGGTTTGGACCATTGACCTTGTGGTTAGGAGTCCAGTGCTTATCCTACAGCACCACACCAAGACATCTGGTTTCCTATGGCTCCTAAAATGTTTATATTAAGAAGTTAAACTTAGAAGTTGGCTACAGTTAAATTCTAATCAGTAACTTTTCACAATTAAACGTTATAGAAAATAAAACTGATGCTATCAAGAAGAGGGTTTTGTTTTTAAGTTTTTATTGTGAATTGTGTGATAGTTTACATGGGGGAACATCAGTTTTATACTCACCCTATCGTATTTCATTTCATTGCATGATTACAATGTTGTTGTTTTTTTAAATGCCATAAATGTTTTCATGTTGGCATTCATTTCACAACAGCATGTTTATGAAATACAAGAGGGTCCTGATTTCGCTGGGTCTGTCACCGATGAGGAGTCCCTGTATGGTGCTAACTGACACGGTGGCAGTTTGAGGCCACCCAGAGGTAACTCGGAAGAAAACCCTGGTGACCTACATACTTGCCAAATATTTATGACACACAGTTCTACATTGAGACACAGGCGATCACCCTGCGTCATATCAACCTGATGGCACCTGGCCTTTGGTGGTTAATCGTGGTCAAACTCACAATCAGCACCTACCTGTCCCTGCCTCCAGCTAACTTTGCGTTTGGTTTCTCCTTTGTTGGTGATGGGATTTCTCTGGTCTAACCAGCCTGTTGCATGTTCTAACACATCATATGTCTGAAACCAGGCATCCTTGAACTTTTGACTTGTTGGCTCTCTCCTCGGCCTCATCCCCAAAGCTACACACATAGCTGATGCTGGTCAGTACTTCCTAACCCAAGGCAATGGATCCAAGTCCTTCTCCCTGCCTCTCTTCTGTTATTTCTAGGACTCACAGGGACCATGAAGAGAAAAAAATGTCAGAAGCTCAAATTCAACATCTGATGTCTGGTCTTGTTACTTGCTGTTATTGTTGGTGGTGGTTATGCACCTTGGAGTCGGTTCCGACTCATAGTGACCCTGTACAGCATTTTTGAGGCTGTGAATCTAATTTACCGGAGCAGAAAACCTCATCTTTCTCCTGTGGAACAGCTGGTAGTTTTGAACTGCTGACCTTAAGGTTTGCAGACTGATTCATAACCACTATGCTACCAGAGGTGCCATCAAATTGGCCCTCAACTCATTGGCAAGACCATGCACATGTCGCCGGATGTTGTGCCATCTCCACGATGGGCGGCGGATCAGACCACTGTGATCCAGCGAGCTTTCACTGGCTGGTTTTCAGAAGTAGAATACCAAGCCTTTCTTCTGAGTCTGCCTTAATCTGGAAGCTCCACTGAAACTTGTTCACCATGCAAGACATCACTAACAAATGGCTGATAGTTGTGCATAAGGCTCGCTGGTTGGAACTCGAACTTCATGTAAGACATCACTAACAGGTGATTGCTTTGTGGAAGGCTCACTGGTTGGAACTCGAACTCCATGTAAGACATCACTAACAGATAGGTGATTGCTGTGCGGAAGGCTCACTGGTTGGAACTCGAACT